GCCGCGCCGCTCGGCCCTGCTGCTCCCGCCGCTGCAAAGCGAGGCCCGGGGTTTCTGTGAAGGAGGGTTCCCGCGCGAGGCGCCAGCCGGTGCAGCTTTCCACAGTGCTGAAACGCGGTGCGGGGTAGCTTAGCAGCCTTAAAGTGGCGTTAATCACTCTTATGCAATTACATTTTTTATGATGCACATTACGTGTGGATTTCAAAGCATTTTCTGCGAGAAAATTCACACGATTAGCAAGACTGTACAGTCAGCCAAAAGGAGAAAGAAACCAGCTGACTTGCGCAAAGGCGCTCAAGGGGTTTCCGCTTGCGCCCAGCCCGCGACGTCTCCCTGCGGATCCCGCCAGAACACCTAACGGCTCGGTGTGAGAGCCGCTGCGGCGCTGGATGGGGCTGCCCAAAGATCTTCCACCCCAGAAGATCTCCAGACCTCGACTAACTTTGGCGCGAGCCCTACTCCGACCAGAAGCTGGGGTCAGGGACTCTGGCCGCCACCATACCTCGCACTAAGCAAACTGTCACTATGGTGACACTCTGACTTCGTGTCAAGGGAAGATCTACGCCTTACGTATTTTCTCCCCTTCAAACATCTCTAGGCCAGAATAATCCGGATTACTGACACACCCTCGGGCCACAGACGGAGCAGCAGCTTGCCGAGGCCAGCTTTGGAGTCCCTGGAAAACGCTCTGCGGTGCATGTGACAGACCAAAACCTCCCTGTCCCGCGTGCCGCTCCTCCTGCGTCTGGTGGGCTCATAGCCTGCACATCCATACGCCGGGATTTAGCTGCGCTGCTTGGAACAGCTCCACTCAAAGACTTCCTTTACAGATGCTTGACTATTTTAATAATAAAAAAAACAATTTGCAACATCTGAAAATATTAGAAGATGGCATCATCTTTACTGAAAGTCTTTCAGTCTGTGGCTGTCTTGCTTGTTTTTAAGCATTTAAGCTACATCGTAGTGAAAGCCTAGTGCTAATAAGAAAAAAAATTTTCCCATAATAAATCAACTATCAATTAATCATTCCTTCATCAGAACAGATAAAAAATACAAATTAAATACTAAGGCTATTACTGAAAAATCAAGTTGCTGAGGCTTTCTCTAAAGCTTTCTATAAAAACTGTGTAATTAGCAGAAGCAATGGCTCTGCTTGCTTACTCGAATAATGCAGCAAAAAAAATCCAGCTGCAAACAGAAGCCAAATTTTATCAGTACCTGCTTTCATCTTCACTCAACACTGAAGTGTTTTAGGTAGGTCCAGGAATGTTACCCCAGCCATTCACACCCGTCAAGAAGTGCTGCAGCTGAGCCACACACTGCATCCTCTACCCAGAAGTTACTAAGTTTGCACGTGCTTTCCGTTTCAGTTTACTTACTGTACCAATGTAGGACTTGCCTACTACCTACAGCAGTGTTTAACCATACATTTGGTGTCTTCTGTCATAGGCACATTTTTCTGCACGCACAGCACATCAAATGCATCACAAAATATGCCAAATGCTTTAAACATTTCACTGATTAAGAGGTAACAAATTCAGACACATTAACAATTATCAGCTTCTGACACAAAATATTCATTTTAGCAAAACAGCCTTTTCTTACAAACGCTGTAAAGCAAACTACAAAAAGATTCAAACAGAAAGCCAAATCAAACATTATGTAAATCAAATGTTCAAGGAGGTTAAATTAAGTTAAAAAAACATAAATTTTACTGATAAAGAGTTTGTTAGCTACCTTAGCATTATTAAAAAAAAACCCCAACTTATCAAATTACATGTAATTTAAATTTACAAAGCGTAACAACTCTGTCAGTGAATGTTATGACTGAAACACATGAGTCCGAGCCAATCTAAATTCTGTAAGGGCTTGTACTGTTGTGACAATACCTCACTGTTAACAATGTTGTTCTTCAACACTCGGCAACAAAATCCAAAATACTCTTGACAGATGTTACTGATGATCTTTGTTTTTTTCTTGCCTCTATAAAATGGAGATTAAAGGGAAAATATCAAGACAAACATTTACACAAAACACTGCCCAACTTTAGAAAACATTTCAGTAGAAAACCACTTGCCGCTAAGCGCTCCCACCCATGCCCGGCACACAGCAGAACTGCTCTCTGCTCCTCCCACAGACAGCCCCTCTGCGTAACAAGAGTACATATTAAACACCATGAAAACTGCCAGAGAGATTTTCACAAGCCATCATCAGCAAAGAGACTGAACAGAGAAAACATCAACTTCCTGACAAATGCAGCGATTAATTTAGAGTCCTTCACTGAAATTCTTTGTATCCTGTCAGGTGGCACTGGAAGGTTCAAAGGCTCTCTAACATTTACCCAGTTCAGCGCTCTCTCCAGGCACACGCCCTGACTGAGTTACACTGGAGGCCATTCTAATGCTTGGTGCGCACAGCAATGATCGGACACAAAGCACAGTCCCACGGGCTGCAAATTCTGACAGCCTGTCCTTTTTCTGCAAGCCAATTCAGGGCCAAAAGCTGAGAACTGAGCTGACAGCATACAGCATTAGTAGAAAATTAAATTGTGATTACTTGCAACTGTAACCTGTAGTATTTCTTGGAAAGATCAACACTTGTCCGTCCTTTCTGAAACGGGTAAGACCACAAAATTAAATTCCAGTGATGACCCATTTGTTTTACTCCATTCAAAAGACAGTTAATCTCTTCAGTTGTGAAATCTTTTCGGGTTCTTCTTCTCTTCTTTAAAGTTCTTGTGTTCATGTCCAGGGAACATATTTCATTGTTCTACAAATATTTAGTTTGGTGTAACTGAAAATTATGTTAATTTACATACTATTTCACATTTGGGAGTAAACCATTATTACTGACAACACAATCTTAAGTAGTTCTAAGGAAGTGATAACTTTTGTCAGGACAACAGTGGTTCTTAAAGATTTCCTCACTGTGACCCGCTTACTGAAATACAGTATTTTTCATGACCTTTACCTTCATTTCTGTCATGCCTATATAGTTTACACCTTTACTATGTTTATTCCTTTAGGTTTCTGTTATATCTATACTATGTAAACATTCATTAGTGCAGGAAAAAGCATACCTTCATACCCATTATTCAGAAAGGACTGTCAACTGAAAAATACTTATCTCAGGGATAAATCAGTATCACTGGAGTAGGATCCACAGAGAGGATTATCTTTTTCCTAAGGTTCAGTTTGCTACTGGGCCTCTGTTAAAGGTGACTTTAAAAGAAATTATGCAATTCCTAGTGATTTTATTTAGACATTTATAAATACATGAGCGTATAATTAGGCTTTGCATAACTAACCTCATCTTTGTCAAGTGAATATGTGCAATTTTCTTTTAAGCACTGACATTGCTGGTTGCACATTTCTTTGACTCTCTGCCTCTTCAAGTTAGCATCTTGGTTTTTTTGGAAAGCTATGAAATTGTGAACAAAGCCACCTCTTGGTTACTTTAAACTAACTGAAATTTACTGTAAAACTGAATACAGGGTTGTAAAGGAACATTTCTTCTAATGAACATGAATATGTAAATATTGCTTTATTAGTAATATCTTATTTTCATTAGGTCTTTTTCTCATCATTGATATTAACACATGAGGATTATTTATACATTGGAAGCAACTAGCAAATAATAAGAATTAACTCAAACATCAACAACGCTATGATTGAAGGTATAAGAACATATTTATTTCAGTTCTTAGCCATTTGTCTCCAATAGCAATCACAGGTGCTTTTCTCAATGCCCTGACCTAAATGCAAAACTTTATCTTCAAGTTATTCTTATTAAGGAATTAACTTTCCAGTAATACTCACACTTTTCATACATAGGTCTCAAGTTATAGTCATTGGTCAACCCAGTATTTTTAATATGTTCATCTCTATTTGCAGTATCAGGTTTGCTTTTTCTAATTGGAGTCAAAAGAATACCTTAAAAAAAAAAACCCCAAACAATAGAAAATTATGCATCTTTCTTAAAAAAGACACAAAACATAGGTAATGTTTTAGGCATTAAAATTTAAGAGAGAATTTGAGCCATACTACTGTCTAGTCTTGGAAGAAAGACTGGGAAATTCAGTTTATTTCATAAAATGTTTACTTTGTACCCAATAAACACCACATTCTGAAGAAAGTTCCTTGTGAATTATGTAAAAAATAGTATCTGCAGAGTAAGGAAAAAAAATTATAACCATTAACTTTTTTGCTACATTACAGAATAAAATACTGCGAAAGAGATGTGCTCTGCTATTTAGAAACAGACAGTTGTTGTGTATCATGAAGCATACCAGTTTTTATGGGTAGCTGATGGTTCTGTAAACATAGAGTTCCTAAACTGCACTGCAGAAATTGATGGAACTTATATTCACTTTTCCACTTCTGCCTTGTTAATAACATCCTATTCAACACCTCATAATACAGGACAGGTAAATAGATCTGCTGTACTTTTCTGACAGGTTGTTCCCAGTTACTTGCTCTACTGTTGTTGTATAGGTTAAGGTTTAGCCTTTTAGCTATTGAGCGCACAGAGAGCCAAGTCCTTAGCAGAGCTCCAAGCAGGAACAGAAACAGGGCTAACGGGATAACATGGCTACAACTTTAACAGAGTGATGCTGAATCCAGGAACACGCAACTGTACTGTGTTCTGAGCCCGACTATACTTCTCCATTTCAAAAAATAAGGCCATAAAACTAAGAAATAGCAGATGGCATGGAAGGAACCCTGACAGGATTCAAAGCAGCATCTACAAAGCAAGTGCCAGATAACTTTGTTGTGAACGAATGTGCATAACACAATTTCATTATTATAGAATATGCATTTTCTGGCCTATTAATATATAGATTTTTCACAGAATCCACAGAAAACCTCTGTAATCCCCTATCCACAGCCTCCCACAGTAAAGTCCTGCAAAAGATTTACTTGGACAGTAAAGACTTTTTGCATTAAATTCCCAACCGAGCTCTTACTTTGGAAACCATCCTTTTTGCTCCTGAAAGTTGATCTTTCTGTATGCAGCCTTTCTTTCTTCACTGGAGTCAGCAGTATTTCTGGAAAACACAAGACGGACACCAGTACAAATGCCAGTAAGTAATAATTGTTTAATTTTCAAAATGCCTCTTTTAAACTAGAAAAATACAGGATGCACTTTTATGTAAGAATTATAAGACTCTTATATCCATAAGTACGTAATATTAGAATGAAATTATCTTGTTATGATGTCAGACATCCATTCACACTTATTTCAACTTAATATATTCCCTTCTATTAGTACTTTACTAACTCTGGCAAACAGGACAGAGTCTCATCAAAGCCTATAATGAGGTTGTATCACTACTGCCAAGAAATACACAAGATCCTTAAAACAAAAGTGGCTAGTTCCAATCTCACTTACTACAAATCACTGGTAAATCAAATTAAATGAGTGACTTTACAAGAGCAGGACAATCAGAATCAGACCAAAAAAAGTTCAGAATTTTAAACAGTTAAAAACTACTACAAAAAAAAAAAAAAAAGAATTATTACTCTCATGAGTTGCATATCTACTGTTGTTACAAACAGCCAGTTTGCGAAGTTCTTTTTTGTATCTTTCTTCAGCTTCCAGAATGACTTTGTGACGGTCACACAGGCATGGACAACTTTGCAACATCTTGGTAAAGGTTTTACTATTGAAGGACAGTCCTCCTGCTGTACAACCTGGGAAAAAAAATAGGATATTGTACAAACAGTAAGCACAACTGCTATAGCATTTTATTTTGCTCACTAACTCATCTACAATTTGACCTCCCGTTTTCCATATACACATCTCAAAAGAGGTTACACTTTATGTATCTTCTTGAACATATTTAGTTATTGTTTTGTACTTGCTCTCAAAAAAAAAAGTGTTTTCAATATGAGACCAAGTTATATTGCACTTCAGCTCCAGAAGTACTAAATGAGGCACAGATCCTCTACAAAAGTAAAAATATTAGTGGGATGGGAAGAGAGGGGGCCTCAGTTCCCTTTACACATTTATCCAGGACACAAAACATGTCTTTGCTATACTTCGAAACTTTCTCTGTGTTGTAACAGTTATCTGTATTAACCTGAATAAATGGTAAGTCTAGCTTAGGTACGAATTTCCTCACAGGAAGCTTTCCTGTTCATTTTTGAGGACATTCCTAGGGTAATTTATGGTTTAGTTATTCTTGGATGTTCTCACAGTCATTTACGTCAGCTGAAGGAGAAGGAGAACTTCTGCACTGTGAGGAATTATAAGGGCACTGGTACATACCTGCAATATTCTAGTCTAAGATGAAGCGGTGCTAAAGCTCAGATTGAATTTAGTTTGACAATGTGAGTTCATATCATATGCCTAAATGATGTTCAGAGGGATGGGGTTATGGGCTGCTGGGGGGGGGCCTTTTTTTTTAAATAAAGAGACAGAGGCTTGTTTACAAAATCCACTTACAAATCCTGAGTACCAGCAGCATTCTTAAAACCTACTGATAGACCATGTTCAGGAAGTAGAAGATAGGGTAACTGGGGGCTGCAGTCATGGATTACTAAAAACTGAGTGCCTGTACTGCAGAGCAGCAAGGCAGAGAAAACAGACAGGCTGCAGAATAGTTATGAGGCTTAGCAGGGGAATACATGAGGGAACTGAGCCGGGCTACATGATTCCTCCCTCTTTCCAATCAGAGAACAGAGGAGAACACCCGCTCTTAACTATTCTTGTAAGTAGTGTGTCATCTTTTCATCTGTTGTAAATTCTGTTTGTCAATAAACCCACATTAAGGAAAGATACATAGACCAAAACTGGAATACATGAGCTTTATTTCAATATTTATGATTTATTTTAGGGGGAGAAAAAGGAAAAGAAGCAGTTAAGAATTACATAACAGGTAATCGAATAGATATGTTAAAATTACTGTAATGTCAGTTCACTTACTGGATTATTGACCCTTTCAGGCTTCTTTTCTGAAGAAAGAAAGACCTAAGGTAATATTTACCTAAACACCTTAAATCTGCCATTTTATGGGACGCAGATGGAGCTGAAGTGCTTTCTTCTTCCTTGGTTATCTCCGAGTAGAATGAATGCCAATCTAAATTAGGAAGGAAAAAAAGCCACCAAGAAAATGCAACTTATCCTTTGGCATGGTAATCATGCATCAGCATATCTATATTCAACTGTATTTTCTATCTGTAGATTATTAAAGTTTAATTTACATAACAGCAGAAGATCCAAATGAAATTCCTGAAGTTAAATGGATAGTATTTACATTTTTGTAAATCCAGAACAATTACATTTCATTCAGTGCTTTTTCATCATCCTCCCAAAGCACATTACTTCAACTTGAACACAGCAAAATAAAACTGTAAACTACACTGCTTAACTAAGCCCTATAAACTTTATTTCTATCTGGAATCACATGCTCAAAAATGTAATTACCGGAATAATGCTTATTCTCCATTTAAAAAGATACAACCTGGAGATCAGCTTGGACACCTGTAAAGCTACCACTCTGGCAAATATTAATCTAATGAATAATTATAGATTTTATAAGTTAACAGGAAACTAAATTATGAATAAATATTTGACTGAACAGATCCCAATTCTGAAATAAATATATCAGACTAAGAAGATCAATGCAAATCTGAAAAACATTTATCTTAAACACATGTTCAACACATCGGAATAGCTTCAGGCGAAAGTCACGCTCACAGGTAAGTTCTATCCCCAGTCTTCCAAGTACAGAAAAAAACCAGGATCCTCATGCATTTTCTATCAATGGCTTTCATTGTTCAGTATGGAATGCATTCAGACTGAACTTAGAATGTTTATCTGTGATACATTCATTTGAATAGTTTAAATCACTTAAAAAAAGAATGCCAAAATATGTATTAGAATAAAAACAGAATAAATATTCCTCTGTTAAAATGGTATACCATATAAAATTCCAAAACTATGCAAACAGTTGAAGGATATTATACATCGTGTACTCCGTCATCTAATGATACATAACACCTGACAAAAAGTAGTGATAAAAGTACACAAAACTAATTAAAATCTCATAAAGAACAAAATTATTTAAGAAAGGAATATGTTTAACTATTTGTACCTGATGTGCATGTCTGTTTCATATTTTTAACAGTCTCTGCTGGTTGTAAGTGTTCACTGGGAAGATCAAAACATGAACAAATTACAAAAAAAATAAAATCAAACTGCACAACATACATTTACCTGTAAATTTTCCTGTAGACACACTCCAAAAGCAAAACAAAAGGCACACTGAATATATAAAGTTACTGGTTTTGTAGCATTCAGCATATAATCCCTGTGCACTACAAATCTGTTTACCAGAGATCTGCAATTAGCATTCCCTGCAGTGCTGCTCAACCCCTCTGTTCCATCATTTGGAATGCGGTGCTTTCAAGGGATGCTGGTTTCCAGAGTCATTTGCAATTCTGGGTCACGTAAAGATTAGTGCACAGAGAACTTTCACAAAGTCTTCAAAATACTGTAGCCTTCACCAGATGTAGCAATTGCTCTAACAGGTAATTGATTTTCTTCTTTTCTTAACTTTTATGCAACCAACATGCTCCTATGATATGGTGATCATGCACTTTTCTACGTCACTGACTACATCCAAACACTGGAGGAGCAAGGAGCCTAATCCATGGTTATGCCTGGGTAACTCCTGTTTTCACATAAACACATATGCAAAGAGAAAGCTTTTTTTCCCCCCAAAAAAATTAAATTCCTTAATAGTTTTGTGCTTCAGAGGTCAGAACAACAAATAAAGAAGCTGTGTGAAAGTATACTAATCAGTGGCAAAGCAAAATTTACCTGAATGTACAATAGAAAATATCCTAGATTCTTGATTAATTTCTGTGGTAGCTGCAAAGTTACAATATAATGCATTCAAGGAACCTGCGTATGAGCAGGGTCCAGCTAGCCACATATAAAAAGAACAACAAAAATGTGGAACTCAAAAAAAGGAGAAATGTAGTTTTGTTCATACTCTCTCATGCCTGCCTAGAGGGATATAAATTCAAGATAATGGCACCTGTATTTACCCTTGCAAGTTGCCTGTAATTGTTATTTTGTTTATCAATAGGAAAGATAACCATAAGAGGCAAAAGAATAAGAGGAAAATAAGCATTTGTGCGAGAACAACAAGCAGGAGAACAGTGAATGACTACACAAGGCTTCACCTTTCTCTTCCCATGCAGGGAAGCAACTGAATATGAGGGCAGAAATGCAAGGAGACAGGGGAGCTGTTTCCCCTAGTTTGTGGGCACTCCAATTTCATTTTTTTGCAGAGGAGTCTTTTAACTGCTATTTTCCTACTAAGTGCGTATTACAGAAGTCTTTGAGGTTTCATCCAAACCAATGGGTCAAATGTTGATCTACTGAGGCAAAAACTATGGACTCTTTTCCGTCACTGTGTTGAAGGCATTAGACCATGGCCTGGAACAGGCTCTCTGTACAATCTGTCAGAAGCCTACCATTCAGAGAAAAAGATGAGAAGGTTTTATTACTACGGTGTCTACAATTTTTGATCTGTGATGTCAAAAATACTTCCACAGAATATTCTCTAGTGAGCCACCAAAAGGCTATGTCTTTTCACTAGGAGAAAAAGACAGTAACGAATAATGTAAAAGTCTGACATTCAGTTTGGAAATTGCTAAAGTAAAACTGCTTAGTATTTCTGCTTAGGTGTAAGATACTTACCTTACTTGAACAGTAGACTGATTTTTTACACAAGCATTTTTTTCATTTATACTGTGACTTTGAAGTACACTGTATGTTTGCAGTTCATTAACTGCACATGGAATATTACTCTGTTCACTTTGTCTAGTAGCAGCATTTACTGGATCCATAGTGTTCATGATTTCATTTTTCAGAGGAGAAGAATTTACAGATGGAGCAAGAACGTGACCCTCTGACTTAAAGGTCAACTGTGGACAGAGTACTTCTTTATGTGTTCTTTCTATATAAGTTTTTGGATCAGCAGGATTCACTTCATGGTATTTTGATGCTTCAGTACTGGCTTCTGAAGATCTGCCTAAAAATACACTTTCTTGCACTCTTCCCTGTATTGAAAAATACTAGTTAGTGACTATAAAAGCTCTATAAAAATATTAACTAAATCTAGTTATAAGATTAACTAGGACAGACCAGTCTAACTTTGAAGGTAAAGCAAATTCCTGAGAAGCTTCAAAAATCCTTGGCTGAGTTGAGAACCAACAAGACAGCTGTGCTGCTGAAGGTGTTGAAGGGGAGCTATTAAGTGCTCATTCCAGGCTGAAGCAATGAATTTGCTACTAATAGAATTACAGCATCGTTTAGGTTGGAAAAGACCTTTCAGATCATTAAGTCCAACCATTAACCTAGCACTGCCAACTCCACCACTAAACCCTGTCCCTAAACACCACATCTACGCATCTTTTAAATACCTCCAGGGATGGTGACCCAACCACTTCCCTGGGCAGCCTGCTCCAACGCTTGACAACCCTTTGCAAGGCACTTCTAGAAATGAAAAGATTTAAGTAACTTAATCTAGCTAAATAGCTCAAAAACTTGCTGTTCCACACCCAGGGATACCAAGTAGTTATACGGCACAAGGAAAACATGAAACAATTTTATTTCAGCTTATATTCAAATTTTTTATTATCATCTATCTTGTCATAGCTGTAGAATCATGGGCATTTTCATGCATGCAGATATTAAAATTATAGGTTCAAATGCCTGGCAATTAAAAATAAATCCAACTCTTGTTTCTGCAACCTAATTTATCTCAATTTTGTAGAAAATCTGTTTTTATAATAAACTAAAAAGCTTCATAAAAATACAGATGGCCCACATTCTCCGATTGCCCTGAATACTTCTAACTCTGTACGATATACGGTAATGGTAAAAGTTGCAGGTTGTAGTTTCACACACATCCAATGTTTTTCCTACTTTTCCAGCTCACACTGAAATTATCTTAAGGGTTTACTTTCTATTTCTCCCTAAACTCTAGAAAAAATTTGCTTAGTTTTATGCTACTTTGGTAAATAGGCCAACCTCATCATGTTCTTTGTCAATCAAGTTTATTCTGTGTAAAATCTCTTTTGCTTTCTTCCAGTAGTCTTGTAGACTTCTTTTTCTGATTTGCATGTCCAGCTCTTCTGCATTGTTCATGTTTAATGAATTATCACTTATTTTCAGGGACAATTGTTCAGCTTTATAAAATATAAAACAATATTAATATTCCAAATTTTATCAATGAACACCTTAAAAAGTGTTTATTATATTTTAGTATGCTGAGGGACAGCACCAATAATTTAATGCAAAATATAATCTCTGAGTAGTGATTTCATATAACTTAAATTTACACATAAATGTTAGTACACTTCAAACTGCAGTTACAAGAGGTGAGCTTGCAATTACAGTTACTGTAAGCTGTTCACACAATGATGCTGTGATGTAAAAAATTACTTTATCACGGACTTAAGCCTAACTCTATAGGTCCTTTACCAGTATTGGTATCTTTTTAAAAACCGTCTCCATATTAATGGACACTGAAAATCACAACACACCCTGAATGTTTAAAAAAATTCTCAGTTCCATTTTCAGCACAAAAGTGTAGATACGTGTTTTTTTACTAATTACAAATTGCATAATACCTTCCATGCTTTAGAGATTCAAGGACAAGGTGTCTTTCTGTTTCATTGGTAGTACTATACAGTTAATTAAAAAAACTTAAACAAGATACTTCAAAATACACCCTACTTTAAAAATAAAGATCAAGATTTTTTAATATTGCAAAATAGTTGTAGTCATGGTGATTACGGGCTTGATAATCTACTAGTTTAGTCTCTATATACAATGGTACATACCCAGACATAGAGTACCAATTGCATGTTAAATGACAATGTTAATGTTTTACACATAATTTATAAATGGGAAAGCTTTTAAGAACTGGCCCTACGTATACAGGTTTCACAAATGCACTATTGCAACGGCACTGGAATTTCTACTTTTCTTTTTTCTGCCCAGCTGCCATAATCAGTTCCTGGTGGCAAATAAGCAACTTTTCTGAAGAAAACAAACATCTCTTGGAGTACATAGAATTAGAAGGCTGCTACAGATAAAATAATTTAGAAAGTCAATAGAACTTAAAAATAGAAATCATCTCTCTAATTTTTAAAGCAATAGCAGTAAACTTACTCATTCGTTTGCAATTTTGCAGCACAAAAGTAGCAGCTTTGTTTAGTTCCTCGTCATGAGACTCCGTTAATACCTGAATCATAAGTGGAAGACCATTGTTCTCGAGCAATTCACACTGGTTTTGTTCTAAAATAGGACATCATAAAGGAAAATACATTGGTTTCAGCCTCATACGCACTTAATTTTACAGTAATTTTAGAAACTAATGCTAATAACTTTCAAGGAAATTCTGAAAAAGAGATTTTCATTATGGATCCAAGCACGCTGTAAAGGCCCGCTACCCGGGTTGCAGCAGAAGCGCTCTAGACCACACAGAATGATTTGACCATGGCTCAAAGTTCCTGTAACAAAACTGAAGAAGGGCTAGGACAAATTATTTGATGGAGATCCAAGCTCATTTAATTGTGGCCTAAAACATTTGAATTATAGCTTCTGTATTTCTTTTCCTCTGGTATATACTCCTAAAGTATATACGTTGCATGAGCCTTAAGATGCAGAACTATCGAAACCTTAAAGTTTATAATTAGCAAAACTCTAATAAAATTAGTAGTTTCATCCTGGTCTAGCTAATCTGTCCCTCCTTGTTATCAATGTAATGAGCTAATTTTTTTTATTGTGATCTCATTTCCAGTATGTATTCATAAAACTGACAACTTTCTAAAAATAGTTGTTGTCTAAACTTGATAAAACAAAGGCATCAACAAAAGATGATTATTTTGTCAGTGTTTACATTTTTAAAGAAACTTTTATTCTGTTGGTCTAATCATACTTCTGTTTGAAAGAAATTTTCCACTAAGCTTTGTTTCAATTCTTCACAAAAAATTGTCTTTTAAAATACCAGATATATGACCTACTGAGCTAATTATTGAACTTGTTACTGACATTTAGAGGATGATAATCAACCAGGATTTTTGAACATAATCCCTTTTTCTTGTGCTTCTGAACATTCATGAGAAAAAACAGTAGTATAAATAAACAATGATCAGTATCTCACAACCTCCCATTCTGTTTGTTTGTACCACCACAAAATACCAACTTAAGCATTATATTTTTACCCGATATGCTTGGGAAAGCCCTGAGGAGTCTGGCAAAAACATCACAGGGTCACCTACTACCCACGTCACTCCAAAATCAACACTGTTACATAGTTTTTTAAAAAATCAGTAACTATGCAAACAGTAGACAGAAGCTATATCTATCAAGGGCCATTAAAACAGGTCTCAAAAACATTTATTTGCTATGTATGTATTGCAGTAGGTTTCAGATCTGGATGAATTTTACCCAGTGATACCTAAGCCCAGCTCTGCATTCTTGCATAACAGTCTACTTTTTCTAAGCTCTTAAAGGTACTATCTGCTAACCGGTTTTAAAATTTAAAGATGAAATATTACAGCAAACATTTTTTTCTGAGTATTAATATTACATTCTTTAATAGAACTTTCCCTCGTGTTCCAGTCTTGATGAAATGATGCCATTGAGGTAGTTAATGCATGAGAATTTAGTAGAAACTGACAGAAAGAAAAAAATCTTACCACAAACTTCAGTACAGTGTCCAAGTGTTAGAATAATACTAATTTTTTCTCCTGTATCCAGAGTGTCATTGGACAGCAGCTTCAGTAGCTCCGACACAGTGTGATACTTTGATAAGACAACACCCATGGCAGCTATTATGTTAAACATAATTTGAAGAAAAATAAACTAGATAGTAAGTATAGAGGCATCATCCAAGTATAAAATTCTGTTTTTCAAGGGAGCTCTACAGACCTCTAGAAGCCTTGGGCCTGCACAGTCCTTCTCTTCCTTCTCTTTCATTTTAACACTTCAAATTACCACAGCCCTCCTGGTGCAGTACTTCTGCCCGCACTACTCCCCATGACCAACACTGCCCTGTGTCCCAGACTGTGCTGTATAGAGACGTGGTAGAAGTTCTGATGAACAAGGGCTTTGCAATGTGCAAGGTTTGTAGACCTCTGCTGAGTCTCTCCACGTCCTTTATCAGCTCCAGAACAGAGGACGAAAGAGTATAACAACGACTGACACATAGACTGTCTGCCACAAAAGAGCTAGGAATGTTTCTGGTAGAAGGCAACCCCTTCCTGACATGGGGAGCACCACTGCTAGTACATATATGCTGAAACCTAACCCTGTTGCACACCAACTTCTCTGAAACTAGGCTCAAAACTACTGCAGGTATATACTTTTAAAATTTTTTGAACTTCCGTTAGCGAGCACTTATGGTGTCAAATATAACAACCACGGCCAACAGCACAGATTCATGAGGCTCACAGGTTTCTCAAAATCTCCTGATACAACACACAAATACCTCATTAGGGCAGCACTATCCAGGCAGTAAACGAGAGTAAAGATGTATTATGCAGACGTACCACATTTGTTCAGCTCCACGCCCGAGTTACTAAAGCCTCTTAAAGCTTACAAAGCTTATTAGCTTAGGCACAGGCCTGCAGAAACACAGCTCTAACTCCAGGGTCCAAGATGACTGTCACGCTCAGTTCTCAGCTTTACTTACACAAAACTAGGTCTAGTATCTTGTTTTTAATTTTCAGTACAGTTTAACTTTTACTATGTTTATTTGAGCAACAACGGGAAAGTAACCCACCTCAGATGAACTGCATCATTCCCCATATAAACATTTGAATTTTTAAAAAATCTGCAGTATCAACTACGAGATATATATAACTTAATTGCCTTTTAGCACCTATTCATGTCACTTTTCCACCAAAAGCAGACTTTGAAAATTGCATTTTTAAATTACCCGATATAAAAAATGGTAGTAGTCTCTTCACTCACAGTCATTAGCAATGCAGGCATCCAGAGTCTTTGTTACCACTGCTGCAAGTTTTGTGCTTGAGTGACTCATATAGGAATCATGCATAAGCTTGATGAGAACTTTAGCTAATGTATCCAATCCTCCAACAGAAACAAAATATTTCTGCACATATGCTTAGTGAAAAAAAGAAAAATTGTGTCTTAAATAATACAAGTCGCAAATTGTTTTAGCATTTTATCAATTAGGTTTATCACAATTTTTCTGTGCATGCATTAATCATTACATTTCTACCCATACAACAGAAGTCGGATATATATTAATCTCGAGAAACATAGTAAGTGATTATTTTATAAAATAGTTGCAGGAAACATATGGCCCTAATACATGCATACAGATGGCAAACATGCCTGCGTTCTACCTAAGTCACTGTTTTCAGAAATGTAATAATGACTTGTATTTGTAAAACACTTTTAATCAAAACAGCTTCCAATAGTTTTTACTGACCTTACTAAACATAGCCAGTTTGTAGCTATTTGTAGACTTAAGCACAATGCAGTGTAAACAAAGATGGTGGAATATAGTTTTCATAGTAAAAGTCGGAAAAACAGCAAATGAGTTTGTAGCGGTTGACAAAAAGAAATCAAACATTTCACTACTGAATTAAACTAGCTTTTACACAAGAAAAACTATTTAAAGATTGAGCTGCACTTACAGTTATTTGCAACTGTGAGACCAACAAATGAACAAATAGGACGAACTATCTCAGGCTCTGTGCAACTTTCGAGCCACTCTTTGGCATATGGAAGAACTGAACAGCAAATGTTTTGATTATCTTCTGGAAAAGCAAAAAAAAAATAACCCCAAATGAAAATGTAGTATGAAACTTAATTTGAACAGTAGAAATGAAAACAAGTTGTTGTCACTGTGAAGAAGTACTTTAAATTTTTTCACAATTTTAACAACACTACTTACCATTCTGAGGATTGTTGACACAGGCACAGAGAGTACTGCAGACTGAAGACCACAGCTGATAGCACTGATGAGTATTTTCATCTGACAGATTCATCTCACATGTGGAAAGAGTTGTTCTGTTGAGAACAATGCAAACAAGTCCCATATCATCAAGCAAACATAAGTCTTAAATAGTCTATCTCTGCTTGAATTGAAACTGTTTGTTTACCTAAATAACTGTAGCAGAAGACCAATGCAGCCTGTATCTCTGACATAAGTTTGCCCACTTTCTGAAAAAGAACACATACAAGACTCTAAAGACACATGCAACTTGAGACAAAATCTTAATGTCAAGTTTAATTTACACATTTACATTCTATTTCCATTTCCTAAGGTTGTATCCCCTAAAAAACAAATTACAAACACCAACACTTTGGCAAGAATGTTGTGTTTCTTTCCATGTCTATTTTTTTCTATGCATTGTTGGAAATTACTGGTTTGCATTATTTTTTTTTTTAAACTATAATTTCATTTTTAGAACTAAAACACTTCCTGCTACTTAAGGAAGTCCCAGTAAGTGGTGATCCACTTACACACGTCAGGTTCAGCTACATGCAACCATTCATCTTTATAAATTAACTTTACCAAAACACTACTTATTGATCGTTCCAAACTTCTGTACTGCAGACTGGCAAATAGAAAAAAATTGGTGTTATAACCCAGGAAAAAAACCACCACTTACTATTATTTGAAACCAGTACTAAGATGACATAAACAGACATTCTTTTCAAGTTCACACCAGAATCCTTATTAATTAAAAATAAAATGAGGTCTTCAAACAATGCAGAAGTACACAAACTTTGTTGACAATAAACTGAAACCAGAAAATAAAAATCATTAAGTCCTAAAGCAAGCCATTCATCATCCCAAACTATTTTTGTAATCTAGTAACTAGAGTCTCAGTTGCAACCAGTACATGTGGAGCAGAGACAAAACAGGACTATAAAGTGACTGAGGGCTTCCCCCTGTGGTCAGTTCTAAACCAGGCAGGACCCTGGCAAACTCTGGAACAACCTATGAGTCATTAACACTTGTTGCTGAGAAAGCGAAGTAGTACAGCTGTCTGGTATCATAAAGGCACGCTGTCTACACAAATCAGCAAGGCATTTCTCCAAATCTGGGGACAGACAGTGAAACAGCAGCACCTTTACTGCCCCTCACTCGAGCTGATAATCCCATAATATGATTCTTTGAGACAAAAAAATAATGGAGACAAAGCACAAGCAGAAGTAATAACATGGAATCATAACTCACTTAGAAATACAAATACTACTACTTATTATTACCATTACTCTCTATTATAATTCCTAAGGTAAATAAAGCTGCTTCCTTTACTATGCAATGAACACTTGACTTTGCAAGATCATTTATGAACATCAAACCACCAATTTCTCGAAAATATTCGCTTGCTTCACCTGTAACAGAAAAAAAGAACAAAAATTAAACTTACGCTTTTCTCTGTAAAATGAAAACTTTGTAAAAAAATATTTAGAGGATTTAAGGTCTGAGAAGTTATAAAATCTCGCAGTGACAACCAGCTTAATGTATATTGTGAACATAAAATTGCACTGTTTCTAGGGAAAAATGCTTCTTACTGTTTTGTTGACAAATTGAATAAATAGTGATCAAAGCCTCTTTCTGAGACACAGGGCAGTCCATCTGATATTTAAGGCATTCAAGCAGTAAGTTCAGATCTGTTTTCATATCTACGAGCAAACCCAAAAAACTTCATGTAAATTGTTGTCTTTTCTTTATATTAAGCTAGTTAGTATTACAATAAACCTGCCCAAAAATGTAGTATGAGTATTTCAAAGGAAAAAACCAAACAGTGAGCAAAAATGGAGCTACGCCACTTCTATCCATCTATAAATAACAAACATACTTAACCTAAAAATATTCCTCTCCATAGTTCATTATTTGAGCATGATTTCCTTTGCTAAACTAAAAGACCCCTTTTAATATTTCTGGCCTTTAATTACTAGAAACTGTTAATAAATGTGATGTCAATTACTAAGTATTAAATTTGCAATTGCAAGGTGCAGTAAGAGTATTTAAGTGAATAATACAGAATAATGAAAATATTCAGAGTGAAAATACAGTTGAAAATCTACAGAGAGAATAGGCAAAGAATCCAACAAACCAAGGCTTTCTATATGGTATTTAGTTACTGAAAACTTAATCACTTACCACAACAGCTAGAATCTTGAATCAGGTTGTTAGGTTAGTAAGTTAACACAAAAGCATTTTCTGGCACCTACATACAACCCTAGGTAGGTAAATCACCTTGAAAATCTGTTTCTTTGTCTCTGGGATATAGCAAAAAGACTTATTTGATAATTATTTGCAACACTAACAGCAGACATTGTATATTTAAAGGTTTGGGGCTTCATAAAGAAGTTAAAATACAGTAAGAATGTGGGTAAATATTCACCAAAAAAGGTGACTTTGTGGTGATGCTATTTACTGTTTGAAAGTTTGTCATTAATTTGCGCTTTAGCTATCCAATACAGAACCCAAAAACTTGGCAACAAGGAAAAAGAACATTTTCCAACAGCTCACCATCCCATGACAGACCTATCACAGTCTACTAAAACCTGATAAAATTGATGCAGACAATAAATGACAAACTATATTAGGTATCTTACCACACTGTTTTTTCTGCACCTTTTCATTTTCCATTTTTGGTTGTATACCTGTTCTTATTCTACAATGGCAAGGAAAAAGTGTTTCGGTTTAGATTAGCAGTGTTCATAATATCCTAGGCAGTATAAATTAATTTTTTTTTTAAAGATGATCTGACACACATGGTTTAATACGCTCTTGTACGGCAAAGATTTTCTTTGGAAATACAGTATTTTATAGCAACACTGCATTTGTAACTACTGTGTCACTATGTTTTGAAAGTTACCATTTTGCAAAAATCAGGTGACTATGTTACCATTGTGGGGCACCAAAAACGGCCCTGTCATTAAAACGATACTTAGCTCCATGTCATTTATCACAATAGATCTGATCCAATTTTCCTCACAATAGGTTGCCAACTTTGTCATCAGAGAACAACTGGCAGGAAGACCACCAAGTAATGTTATGTAGAGGATCAAGTGTGTCTGACATCCACTACAAAACATTCAACCTCCTACTGCTACTCAGTGAGCCACTAAATCGTAACTGGTATTGATCAAAATCAAAGACAATGAGCATGAACTGAGACATTATTTCTTAAACTAATAATTTATTTCAGTTCACCAAAGAAATTACCATACTACGCGAACCGTGTAAACCAGAAAAGCCCACAGCATTGCTTCTACGTAAACCTAATGTGCCAGCATCCGAGAGTTAGTCGAGCAGCAGCCAGAATGAAATTCAGGTTTGGAAGCAGGATGATGGCCCCGTAACCATCCCCCAAGCCCCAACCGCAAAGGATGGTTGATGCAAGTGTCACCGTTAACTTCTTTCAATCTCTCAGAAATTATTTAGCTCCAGGTAAAAACTTTAAATCAGTGATAAATCTACTATAACAGATTAGTTACCCTTCTTAAAGTAGAGCAAAGGCTCTAAGATATATCATTGTCATCTTAATGAAGACAGCTGCCAGCCCTGCTTTCCATTTAGAGTTACTGATTGTTCCCATTCCTTTGCTCTTTCC